TCTCTCTCTCTCTCTCTCTCTCTCTCTCTCTCTCTCTCTCTCTCTCTCTTTCTTTCTTTCTTTCTCTCTCTTTTTCTTTCTTAAGAAAATTTTTTTCATTTTACATACCAAGCACAGATCCCTCTCCTCCCTCCTCCTGTCCCCCAGCCCACCCCCCACTCCCTCCTCTAAAAAGGCAAGGCCTCCCAAGAGGAGTTAGCAAAGCCTAGTACATCCAGCTGAGGCAGGTCCAAGCCCCTCCCCACTGCTCCAAGGCTGTGCAAGGCTCCCACCACAGACATTTGGGCCCCAAAATGCTAGCTCATGCACCAAGGACAGACCCTGATCCCACCGCCAGGAGGCCCCCCAGGCAGACTGAGCTACACTACATGCAGAGGGCCTGGTCCAGTCCTCTGGAGGCTTCACAGCTGTTGGTCTAAAGTTCCTAAGTTCCCACTAGGCCTGCTAGGTAGCCTCTGCAGCTTTCTTTATCATGATCCCGATGCTCCCCGCCCATAGAATCCCTCTTCCCTCCCCTCAATCCCCCGACTGGACCCCCAGAGCTTGGTCCAGCACCTGGCTGTGGATCCCTGCATCTGCCTCCATCAGCCACTGGATGGAGGCTCTAAAAATAACAGGCAGGGTATTAGCCAACCTGACCACCAGGGTAAGCCAGCTCAGGCACCCTCTCCACATTCTCCCCATATCTATTCAATACAGTACTCGAAGTTCTAGCTAGAGCAATAAGACAACAGAAAAAGATCAAGGGAATATAAATTAGAAAGGAAGAAGTTAAACTTCGGCTATTTGCAGATGATATGATAGTATACATAAGTGACCCCAAAAATTCTACCAGGGAACTCCTACTGCTGAGTAATGTGGCAGGATATAAGATTAACTAAAAAAAAAAAAAATCAGTAGCTCTCCTATATACAAATGATAAAAGAGCTGAGAAAGACATCAGAGACACATCACCCTTTACAATAGCCACAAATAATTTAAAATACCTTGGGGTAACTCTAACTAAGCAAGTGAAAGACCTGTACGATAAAAACTTTAAGTCTCTGGAGAAAGAAATTGAAGAAGGTATTAGAAAATGGAAGGATCTCCCATGCTCATGGATAGGTGGAATTAACATAGTAAAAATGGCAATCTTACCAAAAGCAATCTACAGATTCAATGCAATCCCCATCAAAATCTCAACACAATTCTTTACAGACCTGGAAAGAACAATACTCAACTTTATATGAAAAAAAAAAAAAAAACCCAGGATAGCTAAAACAATCCCCATATGGTTCTTTGCTGACTTTAAAATAAAGGAATTTACACCCCCATTCTCCATTTTACCTTCACATCTTTCTTTAGTTTTCAGCTTACAAATCACTGCTATATCATTAGTGGGACATTCTTTTTGGACAAAAATATACACTTTTTAGAGCAAGCTCGGGTCCTTACCTCCTTTTTAGAACCGGGAAAACATGCCAAGTTCTGAAAATTTTACTTTTTTCTGAAGTAAAAGCAGACAGTTCATATCTACTTTTGATAGATACTGAATATCAGTTGAAAGGATGACGATAACAGGTCACCTCTGGAACATTGTTGCACATTGTTTCTGGGAATTATTTCTTTCAAGAATCATTAACCTAAATAGCTACTTCCAACCCAAACTCTTCCTAATTTTTCTTCCCAGATACTTTGATGTGCTCTGCTTGAAAGGGGCAGGAACACTCATGTCCACAAGTGATACTGTGTATCACTTAAAGTTTGTTGTTGGCAAATAGCTGTAATGCCCTTTGATGCAATTCTCTAACATCTGGGGCTCCTTGGCTATTCTGTCACTGGTGTCTTCAAGCCCTTAAGGCAGAGAGGCTCCTGCACTAAGGGCTCCAGATATTTCTTTTCCAGTTCGATCTTTCATGATTGAGTGGATTCTCAGGACTTTGTAGAATATTCTTCTATTTAGACAACCCCAAAATTTATATCTCCCCTCACCTGTGATTGTAGTCTTATTGATACCCACTAGGGGTCTTTGTTGCATTTTCTTGCCACAGTCTTGTTCAATTGTCTTTTTAATTAATTTTAATTATCTATTATATATCTGACACTGTGCCTGGCATTGTACAAATGCCAACATGTTAAAATACGTTGCTACACTGCTACTGAAGAATGTAGTCTTTGCCCCTTCTTGCTTTTCTGTCTTAGTGACGCTACACTTAGCTTCAATTGCCTGCTTTCAACGTTCGTAGAGCATGCTTGATTCACAGTTTCATTCTTTGCATCCAGCCAAAATTTGGTAGTCATTTGTTCATATTGTTTTGTTCAAATAGTTTCTTTCTTTCCAATTTGTTTATAATTTTAAAGCAGTATTATAGCTCAACTTGATGACCAATGTACTTTTCTCCTTCCAATACAACTCGTGCTAATCTAAAATCAATTGCCTGTGGGCTTGCACATGAGCTAATGTCAGAGTATTAAAAACAGCTTTCTTTAACGACATGACCCTTGGTAGGTCACCCATACTTCAGGCACCATTCTCAAGAACAGTTGACCAAAGAAATGGAGAGAGGTGAAAAAAGCTCAAAGTTGGGTGATTTGGGATGTGAAGGTAGAAAAGGTGGATATGGAAGAAGTTGGAGGGACAGTGAGCATGACCAAAATACATCATATGAAATTCTCAAAAAGGTAACAAAAACATTCTTTAACATATATATTGGCTGGCTCTTGGTAACCTACTCCCCATACTGGGTTGCCCTGCCCAGCCTTAATACATGGGGAAGTGCTTTTTCTTTTTTCTTTTCTTTTCTTTTTTTTTTCTTTTTCTTTTTTTTTT